AACAGATCGAAATTATGCTCGAGAAATCTGAAAAATTCGACTCCCTAATGAACGCGAGTCATGCTGCACAAAACGCTTCTGCTAAGGAGAAAGTTGATGCCAATGGAAAGGTTGAAGCCAATGGAAAAGTTGCTGCAGATGAGAAAGTTGAAAAGTAGCAAAGAGTACTAAATATAATGGTTGATCAAGCAAAGTATAGTTTGATGCTATCCAGAGTCATATCCTTGTATGCCTCTGAGTATAGATATGAGAAATAGCTAATTCATTTTGTGGCATTATTTTCTTTTCAATTTCCATATACATTTTTATTTAATTTATCATTAGGAAATTAAGCAAGGTGATAGCAGTGAGATTCTTGAATCTATTGCTATATATAGTAGATGTGCTCCTGTGCTGTATATTTGTTGTTGTTATATTGTAAGTGTAAACTCCATATAATCATATTTCTTTTTTAACTTGCAAGTGTTGAAAGATATATGCATATATATGTATATTGTTTTTAAATGAAGACAAATTTGCATAATATATTTATTTATTGTAATTATTTACATAATAGTGGAGAGGCCTGTGGAGCTTTGGTTATGGGACTAAAGATTACCGTCTTCAGCAATATTTCATCTCCAACAATTTACTCTACATATAATATTCTCTTATTTTTATTTTTATTTTGGATTAATGTAAAGGTACATAATATTTAACGAGATTTTTATTATATAATCAATAAAAATATAATTAGATAGAAATAGTAATTGTTTTAAGTGAAATACTACTATTTCGTAAATAATATGCAAGTACTATTCAATTGTATAAAATAAAACATAGGACTATTGAAATAAATTTAGGCAGTAGGAACTAAAATTACATATTACATATAATAGCATANNNNAAGGGTACGGTTACAAGACATCGATATTCTTCCTACAAATGACCAATCAATGCATTACGAAGTGGAAGGTGTGCTTCTCGATCTCTAATTTGTCTGTATTGAGCAACAAATATATGAAATTGAGAATCTTCATTACCCACAATTTCAATATCAAGAGTTAGGTTCTCTATTGTAGCTTGAACATGCATCAAGATCTCGTTCATCCTCAATATTAATATTATATATCCATAATAATGTATGCAGTCGTTATATCTTGTGATCGTCTTTGCTCCAAAATCAGGCAGGGTTGACAACAATAGCAAATCGACTTTGCAAGAAACCAATGCACATTCAACATCATTTCTACATGCTTCTTGTTTCATAGCAAAATAATTTTATTTTTTTTTTGACTACGTGGGCAGAAATAGTTTGGACAAGAGTTGACCATTTTGGATGTATATTATCAACTAAATAATACCTTATATTATATTCTTTTCCTTGTATAACATAATGTGTTGTTGGTGAAATTCCCTTAGTAAGATCAAAGAATAAACAAGATCTCTCTAGCACGTTAATGTCATTATTGGACCCAAACATACCAAAATTTGCATGTTATATCCAAAGATCATAATCGACTATAATTTCTAAGATAGTCGGAGATTTACTTTGCCCTACATACGCACTAGCCCAAGTTGTAGGACATTTTTTTCACTGTCAATGTATACATTCTAGACTACCTACCACTCCAAGAAAGCCACGTTCCTTACCAATATGAAGAAGTCGAGCAATATCATTGGCGTTTGGTGATCTAAGATACTGCTCTACAAATATCTCCACAATAGCACAATAATTTTTTTTTCATACACTCAATTGCGGTGGACTCACCAATGTTAATATCTACGTAAGTCAATATTCAAATCGCAACATTTAACTTTCGAAATGTAGACAATCCATTCCTGCATTTCTTTGCTGTAAAAAAATAATTATCATGATTTTTCACATTATTTGCAATACGAATAAATAAATTTTGAGACATTCAAAAACGCCTACGAAAATTTGTTTCATTGAATTTAAAATATAAGAAAAAATATTTAATAAAAAGGCGATCAACAATCGTTAACGATCACTGAAGATTGTTTTGCAACCACGAACTAGACCTCCATGCCTCCGACCAAAATTTTGTGTCTCGCTAAATTCTTGTACGAGAAGATTTTTTCTGTAAATTTATTGACATATCAATTATTGTTCTACATCTTAACTATTTAAAAGTTGTTTTAGTTCATTATCAGTGGAAGAGGAAAATGCATAAGAAGAGCCTACATAATTTAGATTTAAATTTAGTTGAAAGGAAAAAGTTTATAATGAATGATAATATGGACACAAACGGTCCATATAAGTATTAGTGCATAAAATCTTGCATCATAATTTTAGACAATATAATGAGATTTCATTAAAATTGCCCTTCAAATATGAGTAATGCTACATTGACAACCTAGTTGTATACCAGGTTGGTAATGTAGCATTTTTCTTCAAATATTATCTCCCAAATGAATTATTATACAATAGGATAATAATCTGGATTTCTTATCTTATCTTATTTTATCTTCTCTCACCTTGTCTTATCTTATCTCACAAAGATACAGATAAAAATCTGAAATTTTAATTTGTGCCATTAAACCGGATTTCCTTATAAAAAATCTGAATACTTCTTATCTAAAAATTGAAAAAAAAAATATATATTCCACTATTAATAAGCCGACTCTCAGCACATATCGTCCCACCACTATCACACGAAAAATACCCTCTCAAGTGTATATCAATTTCCTCTTAGTCTCTCGTGCCTAATGGGAAAACCAATTAAGATTATTGACAAAGATCAACACCTATATCGCTCATACATAGAAGTTTCTCAAGACCAAGTGGTGGGCATGAACCAAAGTAGAGATCAATTTTGGGATCGTGTCACCAACGAGTATAATTCTACAAAATCAAATTCAATGTAGTCAGATCGTCCACAAAGATCAATTCTTGTCGTATGAGTAATATCAATGTTGTTGTGAAACTGTTCAATTTTTTGTGCAACAAATTGAAAATGCTAACATAAGTGGAGCTTCGGAACACAATGATGTAAGAAAATCTCATATAATTTAATTATGTTTGAGAAATTAATAATCTTCTAATACTTTTTATTTTCATTGAGTAGATGGAGCGTGTAAAAGTACTATTTATGCAAGACTCTAAGAATAAAAACAATTAGAAATTCAATTATGAGCATGTATGATAAATTATAAAAGACTTCGTGTTGTTTGAGTGCACGTCACAAAGGCGAAGCATAACAATGTCTCAACATGGTGGGCTCCTAGAGTCCCCCATTTCACCTAATCTAGAGACATATATTTTTTCTATTAATTTGAGCGATTAGTGGCTGTTCATCATCGCAGCAACCTGAAGGCATTAAAAAATTAAAATTAAAGAGAAAAAAAAACGATGTGTTTTGTGAAGACAATAAAAGAAGAAAATGAAAAATTTCGAGAATTAGTAACACTTTCGCAAAAAGAGATCACGACAGTGAAATGATAAGACAAAAGCTCAAAGAAATGAGTTATGGAGACAGATGGTCGAGACCATAAAATGGAGAAAAGAAAACGAATTTTAATGCTGGATTTGGATTCCATACAAGATAGTCGTCGACGTGAATATTCTTCTAAAATTCGAACCGATAATTGACTTGTGCTGACCACTAGTTCAACTGTTGAGTTACCAGGTCGATTGCTGAACCAAGTAATTAATTATAAATTATATTTATATTATTTTTATCTTATAATTATATATAAAATAACAATAGTAAATACTATATGTACAAAGTCATAATAATTTTGAATTCCACCATAAATATTTACTACATAAATATCTATACATATACATATATAATATTGTATTTTTGTAATTTTTTGTTAAAAGTAACAAATATAATTGCTCGATTGACACAGCTGAAGATTGATCCAGTTTTGTCCAGTCCTTTGTTACAATGATCCACCGACTAGGGCTGCAAATGAGAGTGGGTCACGAGCCGCTCGCGCGAGTCGAGCTCGAGCAGTTCAATTGAGCAAACGAATCGAGCCTCGAGCATCATTTCAAGATGCTCGTAAGCTCGACGAGCCACTCAACTTTTATTTACATAACTACCACATATAGTTAATTATCACCAATTGAAATTAAAAAAATAGTACTTGTATATTTATAATTTAGTTGTTAAATTTCGAGCCGAACTCGAGCCATGTCGAGCATCGAGTCAAGCTCGAGAATTCTTATTCTTTTCACGAGTCAAGTCGAGCAGCATTTTACATAGCTCGTCGAACTCAAGTTCGAGTTCGAACACTGAAGAAAAAGGTTCGATAAGCACTCGACAAGGTCTATGCTCGACTCGACTTGTTTGTAGCCCTACTTGATACGACTAGTTCCAATTCTGGGTCCCACATTAAAGTAAAATAAAAGGAAAAGGAATAAGAAAAAGAATTTTATCACTGGTCGTAAAACATCGCGCAGGCGCAGGGAGCATTTTCTACAGCTCTCCTCTTTTTTCCGTCTCTTTTCCGGTCGGCGCTGCAGCTCTCAACCAACCTCAGGCGGCTCTGCCCCGGCCAATTGAACCCACGATGGCTTGGGTAGCATTTATTCTCACCATCCTCTCCTCCGCCGCCGCCTTCACACCGCTCTATACCCCATCGCGTGGTGATCCAATCATTTCACTCAATCGCTTTAGTAACAGCAGTACCGCCATGTTTCTACCTCTGTTCTTCAACAGCCCCGAGGACCGCCGCCACAGGGAGGGGTTTTATTCCCGGCGCCACCTCCTCGGCCGCAGCGCCCGCATGCCTCTCCACGATGATCTCCTCCTCAACGGGTCTCCGGCGGCTTATCTTTTTTCTTTGCTTTTCGAATTTGTTTTTGTTATTTTTTAGTATTGCTTATGTGAAGGTGAGATCTGGACCCGAAATTGTGTGCTGACGGGTCGTACTGTGATCGCGGTGTTTGCAGGTATTACACGACTCGTCTGTGGATCGGGTCTCCGCCGCAGAGATTTGCTTTGATAGTGGATACCGGCAGCACCGTGACGTATGTTCCGTGCTCCACTTGCGAACAGTGTGGCAAGCATCAGGTCTTTAGATCCCATTGTTGTGATGTTGAATTTCATTATTGTGTTTCTGATTGAGCAATGCTGTTAGATCTTGTAGTTTATGCATCAATATTCGTACTTTTGGTTTTTAAGATGGGTGTAACTGGTTTTTGTTCAACACGTACGTGAACGTATATTAAATTTGCCCAATGGACGTAGATGGACCAATTTTACTTGCGTAGTCCCTATCCAATTTGTACGTATACGAAATGTTGTGTCCTTAAATAGAATTCTNTTATTGAAATGGGTGGACAAAGAAAAGTAATGTCATTGCCATTAATATTGTGACACTAGCTATTTGGGTGAAGGTGAACAGAAAGTTCTATTTTTTTATTTGATTAAAATGCGTATGTACTGAATTCATTTGTGAAATCATTGTTTGCCTTCTGCTCTGTTGTATATTTGAGAACTTCTGGATAAAGATGTACTGCATTTCATTTGTGAAATCATTGTCTGTCTTCTGCTCTGTTGTAATATATGAGAACTTCTGGGTAAAGAATGCCATCTCTGCGTTATTTGTTAGATTTAATCGTGTGATAGTTGTTTCATCTATACTGTAGAACGATATGTGCCGGTAATAATAAGTAATAGTATTTTCATTTAATTCTTCCACACTGGTATAGAAATAGCTTTCATCTGTTGTGTTTTTCCGTTTTGTTTGCAATTTTTTGTTGACATTTCTCTTTCAATAGGATCCAAGGTTTAAACCAGATTTGTCAAGCACCTACCAACCTGTCAAGTGCAACATTGACTGTGCTTGTGATAGTGCCAGAGAGCAATGTATTTATGAAAGACAATATGCAGAAATGAGTTCTAGCAGTGGGGTATTGGGTGAGGATATTGTGTCTTTTGGAAACCAAAGTGAACTAGAGCCACAACGGGCTGTTTTTGGTTGTGAGAATATGGAAACAGGTGACCTTTACAGTCAGCATGCTGATGGTATAATGGGTCTAGGTCGAGGGGATCTTAGTATTGTGGATCAACTTGTTGAGAAGGGTGTAATTAGTGATTCATTTTCCCTTTGCTATGGCGGAATGGATGTGGGTGGTGGGGCAATGGTTCTTGGAGGAATATCATCTCCTGCTGATATGGTTTTTGCCCATTCAGACCCTGTGCGCAGGTATGTTTTGGAAGATTATTGTGGTAATGCAATGGAGTGTTAGGCTCTTTCCTAACAAGTACCCTTGATACATCTCCCACATTTACTCTAGTTTCGGGATGGCAACAGTCCATATTACAATATCGAGCTGAAGGAGATACATATTGCTGGAAAGAAGCTCTCTCTTAGTCCCAGGATTTTTGATGGTAAACATGGAACTGTTTTGGATAGTGGCACAACATATGCATACTTTCCGGAGGAGGCATTTAAAGCATTCAAAAATGCCGTAAGATATTTAAGGAAGTCCATACCCTAAGTTCCTATTATATGTTCCTTTTCTAAGTTCCCCATTTTGGAATGCAGATATTTAAGGAAGTCCATACCCTAAAGAGAATACAAGGTCCAGATCCTAATTACAATGATATCTGTTTCTCAGGTGCTGGAAGGTAATAATAGACTGTCATCCCCAGATAGTAATAGATTTCAGTTAGTTACTTTTGTGTTGGCCTAAGTGATGTTAAATACCTCTGTTGCTTCAGTGATGTTTCGCAACTCTCGAATGTCTTTCCGTCTGTTGAAATGGTGTTTGACCACGGACAGAAGGTCTTGTTGTCCCCTGAAAATTACTTGTTCAGAGTATGTGCTTTCTTCACTTCTGATTGTTGAAGGGCTTGCGCTTGAATCACATTAATCTGTTTCTCGGTTATAAATACAATAAATACCCGTGTCTTATTACCTATCATTTCTTTACCTATGACACTGAAATATCATTTTTTTTTTTCTGGGACATTAACCACTATTTGTTGATGTACAGCATTCAAAGGTGCATGGTGCTTACTGCCTTGGAATTTTTCAGAATGGAAAAGATCCAACCACACTCTTGGGAGGTACTGTTAGTCACTTCTTTAAGGTTTACAGTTGAACAAGTGCAGTTTTCATTATTTTTCTGCTGCCAGGTATTGTTGTTCGGAATACTCTTGTAACCTATGACCGTGAACATGAAAAGATTGGTTTCTGGAAAACTAACTGCTCTGAATTATGGGAGAGACTTCACCCATCCACTGCCCCTCCCCCGCCACCTTCTGGCACAGATGAAGTGAACTCAACCATGGATATGAGCCCTTCGGTGGTTCCTGCTGAGCCTTCGCCGCCCATAGGTCCAGGTATATTATATTACTATTTACCCTCTAGTGTACTTCATTTGAATCTATACATTAATGAGTTCTTTTATGTTGAAGAAGTGAATCTTAGAGGCTTGTTTGACGTTATTTTTTCATTTGCCTTTTGTTTAAAGCTTCTTATGTTATTGATGATAAGTAGCTTGCATGTCATACCTCCTTAGCTTAACCTATCATCGATCAGAACATGATGGCTTGACCAGCTTTTGCTCACTTCCTATTTATGTTCTTCACCCCTAAAAGTGTTAAAATATCTACTAAGATGTGATGCTGAAACAAAATCATAGCTTGAACAAAGTTGAAACTCCGTTTTCAACGCTGTCATCATGATTTCCTATTCTCGGTTATAGCGTCCCCAAATCATTCCTTTTGTCATTTTGGATATAGGAGTTAGAAATTGGGCTTTTGTGTAGGGGATGTTCTATGGAAATAGTTTGATTCTTATTGCTTGGATGATGAAAAACCTCACGAGGGTAATGAAGACATGACTATGGGGATCCTACCAAACCGTGCGTGGGAGTTCGGTTCTGATGATTTTAACTTTGCGCGGGAATTGGGATGGAATCCTTTTGTCCCCAACTAGTAGTTCCCAGACAAGTCTTTTAGGTATTCAAGGAGAATGCAATGCAAATCTAACTCAAAATGCACGCTTGAAATAGTTCATTATGTTTTATAGTTCACATGCATGGCTCATGATTTTTTTTTATTTTTTTTTTGGTGTTACTAGCTTCCTCACCAGTTTTGCCTTTGTGCTTAACCTCTATTTCACATGATTCTTGTTGATAGACCAATTTTAGCTCATGATTTTTTAATAATGTAGACGATCAGCAGATATTTACGTGTCTCCGATTTGCAGGGGAAATCAAAATAGGTTTAATAACCTTTTATATGTTATTGGCCGTGAAGTACCCAGTGTTAAAGCCTCATATCCCAGAACTTGCTCTGTCTATTGCGAAGGAGTTAGATGTTAATGCTTCTCAGGTAGGAATTTGTAGTATATAATAGCTAAATTAGTTTAATTTTGTTTCAGCTGTTATGGTTATCAGCTGTGCTCCTTGCACGCCACCCCTCCGATTTTCAGGCTGCTACTCAGTTTTAAGATGAATTTTTGCAGGTCCAACTTATGAATGTTACTTCACGAGATAATGATACGCTTATAAGATGGGCTGTTCTCCCTGCAGCATCTGCTGATTTTATTTCTAATGCTACCGCCACAGTATGAACTCCTACAGCTACTGGACATTTTAGAATAATTTCATTCCAAGGGCTTAGGCTTATGATTTTCCGTTTTTGCAGGATATAATATTCAGGTTGAATGGAAGTCATATACATCTCCCTGATACCTTTGGAAGTTACAAATTGTTTGAATGGAAAATTGAGCCACCACCAGAAAGGTAAAGTAAATATTGTAGTGTTTTACGTTCCTCTACATGCCTCATGTTAGAAGTTACGTTTGTCCCACATTGATTAGTTGCAATGTAAGGAAAAATGGTACTATTGGAACAAAGTAGCCCATGTTAGAAAACTGGGAATCTGAGATTGTTCCTTGCTTGCTGCAGGACATGCATACATGCCGCGTCAATTGGAATAATTTAGCAGTCTCAGAAATAGAAAGTGGACAAAATACTTCCCTTCTCTGTAATGTGAAGCTAATGACCTGTAGGTGTAAATGGCAGAACATAGTTTACTAGTCATATTGAAAAATAAATTGCTCTCATCCCCATGTATAGGAAGGTAGTTTGCTCATTGTGAGAAGGTATAAAGCATGTCGGCTGACAATTAGATCTATCAATGCGTATTTTTGTACTAATTAAGTCTTTTGTTGTGTTGTTTTGGAAAAGAAGACTCGTATGGACCTGTCTCTGAAAGTGCGAAGGGTATATGGTTTGCTATAATTGACACTTAGATATATTACTTAGTAGAGTGTTTGTCTCTAAATCATAAAAGTATGTGCCTTTATTGCTCACACGCACGATTTTTACATTTTCCATGCTGATTCCTGCAAATGAAAGTGCATCATTTGACTTGACGAACAATCTTAATTGTGTCCTCTTCTGTTTTGGTGTTGCCTTGTAAATGACTACAACAATTTATGCATTTCACCTTGTTATTACTTCTATCATCTGGTTTTCATTCGTGCAACTTGCTGTTGTAATCACTTTTTTATTATTTAAGGGTAATAGTATTAAATAGAAATACAATAAATACTACGCAGTCAATGGCATATGCATGTATGATCGCTGATATCATCTAATGGTTTGCCTGGTTACGAATTCTAGTATCAAAACTACAAGTGTCCTCATAAGTGTTCCCATGATAACTTTAAGGTTTCTATTTACCAAATAAGTGCTCCCTTTGATTTTTTTTTTCCCCTATTGCCAGGCTAAGCTGATGGAACTAACCTGTATCTAAATGCACGAATGTTTCTCGATTAATATTGAGTTT